TTTTTGAGACAGGGTCTCACCATGTAGCCTAAGCTTGCCTTGAATTCCAGGTGCTCTTTCTGCTTCAGCTCCCCCCACCCCCAGGGCTGGGATGACAGGTGTGGGCCACCACATCTAGGTATTGCTATTATTTTTTGTTTGTCTTTTTCACACAGAGTCTCACTACGTAGTTCAGCGTGGTGCTGATCTCACTATGTAGCCCAGGCTGGCCTTGAACTCATAACCACCCTCCTGCCTCAGCCTCCTGAATGCTGGGGTTACGGGCGGGTTGCCATCATGCCTGGCTTGCAGGTGCAGGCCTCTGTATCCAGCACCAACGTATGAGTTCTGAGGGACATAACTTAACCGCACAAGACTGATTGTGAACAGACCCGCGTTGCCTTTTATGGTCTGTTAAGCCCACCAGGCCCAACTCCAGAATGGGATGATTATGGTAATCTTCGGGCTAGGAAGATGGGGGCGCTGGGGCTCAGCCAGGCATAGCACAGGGCTCCGTGGCCCACACTTTCAAGCCAAGGCTTGTCGGAGCCTGAGGTGTTGCTTGCAAGTCTGGTTACTCAACTTCTAGAAGGATCTGTGCGACTTGGAGGAGGTCCAGGTAGACGGCCCTGGAGGCCTGCCCTCTGGGGAGTGCTGGGTGTTGCAGAGAGGGAAGGAAGGCCAAGGCAAGTGGAGGTCCCTGCAGCCTGTGGCCACTGTGTTCAGGTGGCAGCCACAGTAGCTCAGGTCTGGGAGAGGGACAGGAAGAGGTGGGCTTGGGCAGTTCCCCTTGTGTTGCAAAGGAGTTTCAGAGAGAAAAACATTTGATTGGAAAACGTTGCCTTTGTCATTTTTTGTCTGTTCTGTTTTGTTAGCAGTGCTAGGAATCAAACGCTAGACTTGAACATTCTGGACAGGTACTCTACCACTGAGCTGCACCCCCACCAAAATTGTATGTGGGGGGTGGGAGGCACTTCTCTATCACTTCACATTTTTAAATCATGTTTTCTTGTTTTAGTTTCATTTTGATTTTTGAGAGAGGTCTTATATATAGCTCAGGCTGGTCTGAAACTTTTGGCAGTCCTCCTGCCACAGCCTTGGAAGGCTGGGAGTACTGATGTGTGCCACCGTGTGTGATCAAACCCTGCCTGGCTTTGGCCCTGTGGCCCAGTGAAAGCACTCCAGATTCTCTGGGCTTTTCCTTCCTGCTCAGTCTTGGGGGAGGGGGAGTGACTTGGATACCAGGAAGGGCTGGACGGGGTATCACTTAATTGGAAGCCCAGAGGTGGGTCACAGCCAGCCTTTGTCATTGTCTTTACTCTGAGGTCAGCCTTGTCCCTGGCCACCATGCCTATGCAGCCAGGCCTAATGGCACCCGGCTGTAGCTGGGGGTGGACTGTCCCTGCTGTACTCCAAGCACAGTCCCATGCCCTTGTTGTTGCCCTCAGCCCTTTCTCATGCATGGGCTGCCTCTGAGGCCTGTGTCCCTACCTCCTCATCTTCAGTCTCTACTTGACATATCCCAAAGGGTCTCAGGCTACTAGCACTGTCCCGAAGCAGTCAGCACTACAGATATGATGGGCAGCTCCTGTCAACTCACCCAGAGCTTCATCTTCATCTCCCTTGATTCCCAGGGCCACCAGTCCAATCTGGCATGTCCCCTTGCTTGGCTTTATCTCCCACTCATCACTGGCAGGTGCAGGCAACTGCTGAAGTCTGGAGGGTAATCAGATTTTTTTGCTGCTTATTAAAAACTACCCAGGACAGACTAACTTTGCAAGGAAAAGAGGCTTATTTAGCGTATGACTTTTAAGGTTCAAGCCCAGGTGCTGGGCCAAGCTTGGCTCCAGGGAGTGTCCCCTCATGGCAAAGTGTGTGGACACACAGAAGCTCATCACCATACAGGAAGCAAGAGAGAGCCTGGGTGTGATCGGGCTCAGGCTTTTATAACCATCTTCTTGCAGAACTATCCATGCCAGATGTGGTGGTGCACATCTGTAATCCCAACCCTTGGAAGGCTAGGCTAGCCTGGACCACATAGTGCATTCAAGGCCAACCTGAACTACACAGCAAGATCCTGTCTCAAAAAACAAAGAAAACCATCCAGCGTTCTGAGAGATACCTTAAACCCTTTCAAGGTCCTCCCTCCCTGTGATACAACCTTGAAAAGTAAGCTTCCAGCACATGGACCATTAGGAAATAAACCATACCAAGTCATGTCCCCTGGTTATTTCAGTATCACTGCACCCACCAGGGTGCTTAGTATCCATGGCCCATGGGCAGCCCTGTTGGGTCCCAGGAATGACCCCCAAGTTGACTGTCCCAGTGCCCTTGTAGAGCAGATCTGCAGTCGGTGATCCAGCTCAGTCAGGAGGGTGATTTCTCCACCAGTGGCCACTGCACTTGGGGCCTCCTGCATTTCTCTTCTGGGGTCTGTATCTTCAGTGTGGGCTCCTCTCTGCTCCCCACAGGGTACTCAGCATCCTCTCTAAGGCTGGCCCCTCCTCACTGCTGCAACTTCCCAGCCAGCTCTGATATATATAGTAGGTAGGCTCCAGGGGCCAACTCTGTAGATCTACAAGCTCTGAGGATTTCAAGTAAGTGCAGCCTGGCTCTGGGGTGAGGGAGAAATTAGCATGGAGTTGGTTGCCCTTAGCCCGAACAGGGGCCTTGGCTGCGCAGTCTATGAGTCTGTAACCTCAGCAAGGCGCTTGAAGCCCTGGTTCTTCAATGACGTAATGGAGGGAAGGCATAGCTCTCCCATGAGCTTGTGAGAATTAAGTGAGCTCATAGGTATAGAGTGTCAGGAATCCTGCTTGCTCTGTGGTAACCTCAACAAAGAGTCATCCATTCCCTTTTTTTCCCCCCTGGGCTGTCTGCAGCCTCGAACTGCAAATATATATTGTCATCACAGGAATACATACTTTTCACTTTTTTATTTGCTTCTCTCTGTGTATGTTCTATTATTTGATTTATCTTTTTTCATGATGGTATTCCACTGAAAAGAAATACCTTAAAATTTTATTTATTTATTTATTTATTTA